GTTGGTGGTAGATAGGGTTCGAGTTTGGGATAGACGGGGGTGTCGCTTCAGTCGCTTCGATACGGGATATCGGAAGTCGAGGATACTTTTGATCCCCAAGGATGACAGAGGTGTGAGCTGGGAAGTCTGGTCGTGAAAATTCTCGATCGAGTTGGTCGAAGGGGTAGGTCGTGACTAGGGAAAAAACAAGCTTCGGGTTCGGGTGTAACGAGGCAACGCTGGTTGATGTGGCTGGCGCGACAGGGGATATCGAACGAAACCCTCGTCTTTTTCTTCCTTGCTTCGGTCCTAATTCTTCCTGCTCTTCCCGTCAGGCGAATTCCTGTCGTCTAGTTCAAGCGCAGAAGTGGGAATAATCACCAGTCTAACCAGAGAAAAAGAGGTAAGGTCGTGGGTGACAGTTGAAGACGATGGGGTTTGGCACCTGCAAGAAGGCGAAGCTTGGCCTGTGTTGCTCGCGCGGCCCCACCACTCTCCCGTCCCAGCACCGCAAAGTTCCACAGTCCCGTTACGTAGCGCCGCAGCCATTGTCCTATCAACAGCTACACTCAGAGGCACGTGTGTTTGCTACAGATGCAGCTTTGCAGCTACGAAACCCATCCGGTGGGGCGCCATCGATTGATGCCGAAGGTATGCGAATTATTACCTCGCATATGGCCGCATCGGCAGGAATACTCCGATTTAAATCACTTTATGACATTGGGTATTGCAGAATGTGAAATCGTAGTTTGAACTATTTCGTTTTTACTCATGAAAGAATGGCTATTCTCATTATCCCTTCAACTCCTGTTACAGCCCTCCCAGTTAAAATTCAAGTTCCGTTACTGCAGGCCGTAAATGCCCCTTCACCCAATTCTCGAGGTCGTCTAATCGTTTCACACCACAAAACCCATTCCCAAAACACTTCAGTTGTTGAGCCACTGGTCGAGGGCAGCATCAACCTGCTTCCGGTACTCCTGTTGCGTCTTGCATTGATCCAGGAACACCTTGTACTTGGCATCGAACAAGAACTTCTCACCCTTGAGTGTGCCTGGCTTCACGAGGCGGCCAGGCTTGCTCATACGGTCCATGATGGACCACAGGTTCTCCGTTGTGCCATCCTCAGTCGCGGTTGCCGCTTTGGCGCCCAGCATGGCAGCACCGTGAACAACGGCCGCGTTGGTGTACTTGGGTACCAAGACAGGCATGTCGCAGATGGTAGCCATCAAGTCCATTAACAGTGGGTTCTGGCACTGACTGCCGGACATGAAGATCGTGTTAAGCTCGTGTCCGGACGTGTTCATCGCCTCAACAATCTGTCGAGTCTGCATGGCGATGAACTCCATCGTGCCGTAGTACCACAACGCCAGGTTGTCCGTGGTTTTGTCGCTGCTCAAGCCAACCACGGCACCCTTCATGTTCGGGTCTGCGACTGGTGATCTGTTACCCCACAGGTCACCGTATAGGAAGAAGTGACGGCCCAGGTATGAGATTGACGGGGCACCGCTCTTCTCACGCATGTATTCCAAGTGGGAGTTCAGGAACTCGTAAATGTTCTTCGACTCGGCCGTGGCAAGCGCGTTCGTTTCGATAAAGGCAGGGTGGATTTCGAGAATGTGTCGAAGGAGCTCGCCGGTGGCAGACTGGCCACCTTCGGCCATCCAGAACTCAGGAAGCAAGACGTCTCGGTATGGGCCCCAAACGCCAGGCACGAACACTGCCTCTCTGGACATGGCCAAGTGGCACGTCGATGTACCGGCAACCGCCGCGAGTCTGTGGAAGGCTTGGGAAAGGTCGTTCTTGGGCTGGTCCGCCTCGAGATGGCCTGGCGGAAGTTCGACCTTGGCGCCGACAGTACCAATCCAGCCGGCGTAGGCGTCAATAACGCCGCCACCAACGGCGATACCCTCGGGAAGGCCGAGCTCTGCCGCGGCCTTCTTGCAAAGACCACCCACGAGCTCGCCAGCGCTCTGATATTTTCCATTCTGTGAAAAACCATGTCAGTCAATTGCACTTTTGTCTCGACGCTGAACCAATAGAAGAGGAGGGTTCAAATGAAAAAGGCTCACCACCCCGTTGACACCACCCATACGCTTGAAATCGTCCTCGACAAGGTCTTCGAGCCCAATTGTCGCCAGGAAGTCATCCTGCCAGCCCTTGACACTGCCGTCAACACCGACAGGAACGTAGCCCTGCTTGCAGACGGTGCTGCAGAAACTCCGCGTCTCGTTGCCAGTGGCCATGTGCGTGAGCGCATCAGCAAGGTCGTAGAACTTGCAGCGGTCAAAGAGCTCCTTGGGCATGTTGTTCTTGAGCCACAGGACCTTGGGAATTTCCATCTCGATGCTCATGGTTCCGCCAACGTACTTGAGCAGGTTGTGCTTCGTGGCGTTGATCTTCTCCGTCTCCTCGACAGGGCGGTGGTCCAGCCAGAGAATAACATTGCGGTCGTTACCATCGGCATTGTCAAAATCAGGGCCGGTGACGGCGACGGGCTCGTCGGTATCGTGGCTGAAGACGGCGAGGGAGCAGGTTGCGTCGAAACCGATGCCCTTGATAATATCAGGGTCGACCTTGGACTCGACGAGGACTTGCTTCACGCAGTGGCAGATGCATGCCCAAATATCTGAAGTGGATTGTTCCTTCCGGAGAGGTCAGCTGAGCTCAACTCCTCGGGGGGGTTGACCGCCAAAGTGATGAAGAGAAGGCGAGGCTCTGAAGTGACTTACATAATATCCGGTCTCAGGCTGCCACAGCTTGATGGGCTCGCTAGCAAGGCCCTTGATGTCGCCAGTCTCGTCAATGATGCAAGCTCTGGCCGAACCAGTGCCGACATCGATGCCGATGTAGTGGTCCTGGTAAAACACTTCGAGTCAATGGTCTGGTCTCTGAAAATCAAGGAACGGAGCTCCGTTCCGGTCGAACTTACCAGAGGTTGGGGAGGTGCGGTGGATTGGACCCTAGAGGTAGACTGTTAGCTCTTGGATACATCGTGAGGCTTTGGCCCAGCTCGATTGCTCGGTCACAGGCAGGTAGGCAACTGGCTGGAACAGTGGCTTGAACTTACTCCATTGTGCAGACCGAGGGTGATTACGAATAGTAAGGTCCTATTCACGGGCAGGAGAAGATTGTGTGATTTCTTAGGCAGTCTGTGGTAGGGAGTAGGGAGTGAAGGCAGACAAGGCGTGAAAGTGTAGAGCTTCTTGGGCAAAGGCGGTTTTGTTGATCAACAAAAAAGGCGACGGGAGCTCTTCCTTAAAAGAGCACCATAATACGACCAGGACGGGGGAAGGTCTGATTCACTGGAAAAGGTCAGGTTCAATCCAGACCTCCATCATCGGCACACACCCTTATTTTTTCGTCCCCTCTTCCTGTGACGAAAGGGAGGGGACGGGAGCTTGGTGCTTGCCTGCTTTACCTTACCTTACTACTGCGTAGATGGCGGTTCTTCCACCGTAAGGTACGGTAGCTAGTGTTGCGCCTACTGCGTAGGACCTGGACCCCTTTTGCCCCTCCAAGTGGGGTAAAGGTGAGGTGAGAGCAGTTAGGTACGTACAAGAGCTACCCTGCCTTGCAGGTACTTGCTGCCAGATGGGCAGTACATGATGCAAGACAGGGCCAACCAGCCCCTCGGATGGCAAAAAAAAAATGACACAGCAAAAAGGAAAGAAGCCATAAGCATGTCCGGTTGGGATCCGCGTGCCACCTGTGGTGTAAGAGCTGCAGTTCCAAGCGCTAGGTATTCCCCCCGGGGAGGTTCCAAGCTGGGACTACCCTCGGGACGGGGGCAACACCGAGGGCATGGAGGGGTGGAGGGGCAAAAAATCCACTGTAAGCCGACATCCGCACCACCCCCCCAGTGGCCCCCCGCGCCCATCAAGAATTAGAATCTTGGGGGTTGCATGGGGGCGGCAAGGGTGACCTTTTGGGACATGGTACACTATCTGTAAGGTAATAGTGTGGACTGGTAGAAAAAAAGATGGCCAAGCCCACCTGACAATCTCGTTCCATATTAGGAACCTCAAGCAGCAGTCCAGAGCTGGCGGGGAAAAGCAGAGTGGCAGATTGGCAGCAAACCATGCAACCATGCAGGAAGGTGATGGGATGGATGCTCGGGGAAGATGTTGGAAAAGCCGGGAGGGTCCCTGAGAAAGGAGATGGCCCAAAGGGTTCCAGAAGCCCAACCACTCGATTCCAGACTCCCAGAGCCACAGGGTCTGCAAGCCTCGTGTTTTCTAAAGTCTCCGGACTGGGCAGCTTGGAAACCTCAACACCAGCTTTGTTGATCTTCTACCGTCTGTCGTCTACCGTTCTGGTTCTGACACTTCTCCCACCTGATGTGTGACACAAAGAGCCCAGGTTAGACATGACTAATTTGGCTGCAAGACTGACTTTGCGGCCCGCATAGAACCATCAATCCCCGTTATGACATATTCACCATTCCAAAATTCCAACAAAAGAGAATAAAGTTACTTCAAGTATTGATCAACTACGTGTGATCTCGAGATCTTGAAGATGCCATCAGTTGAGGCTTCCCTCCCTCTGTATTAATAGTCGCCTAGAACTAGGTAACATCTCACTGTCTCCTGTCAAACTCTATGGTGGTTGGGACTAGAACCGGTAGCGTCGCCGGCGAATTCTTTCTCAACCTAACGAGTCTATATAAACGGTACGATGGAGTCGTCTTAAACACGATGACGAACCACGGGAAAAGAGGAGAAACACCTTTGTCTCAGCCACCGTGCCACCCTACCCCCGAACCAAAAAAGACACGAGGCCCGGCAAGCCCCCCAAAACGGTGGGCCGGGGCACTCATCCCGCCCCCGGGTCACCGGCCAACTCCCAACTCGTTCCCCCCGCTCCCCTGGGGCCTTGTGGCAATCAACAGGAATCCTCCCCCGGCCGTGCCTTCCTCAACACCATCTCTACCGTAAGGCTACCGTTTCCCGCCCGCGCCCGCTTCGCCCGCCGCTTCATCCTTTTGCGGTGCCGAAACCAAAAGAAAAAACCCAACGCCATCAATGATCAAACCACCCTTCGCACCCACCCCTCCTCCCTTCCTTTTTTTTCTTCTCCATCTTTCCCGTCTTCATGCGACCCAATCACTGCCCAACAACCCGCCTCAGAGTTTGTGTACTTTCTTCCTCACCATGGATTTCCCAAACGTAGCCCGAATCAGCTCTAGCCCGCCACATTCACCGGAATACTCTCTAACCAGAATGCTCCCAAAAACTTGTAAGCAATTGTCGAATCAGACATAAGCTGGACAGGGATGCGACAGATAGGCCACCCTCTAGCGCAGAGTCAAGACTGTGGACTGTGGGGAGTGTGGAAACGAACGTGTCTGCTGCTCTCCCCCAGGACATGGATCACAAGAGCTACTGTGGAGTAAACTCACATAAGGGAAATCATAAGCGGAACACCTTTTCCATGCACTACAATCTCAAGATTTGTTTAGGGTAACATTCCTCTATTCCGCTTGCTACCTAACCATACCTGTCAGGGCTGCATAATGACCACCGCCGTACTGGGTATTTCGTTTGTTAATAAACTCCATATCTCGGCAGCACGATAGCACACCGAGAAAGAAAAATCTCTGCATGCCATGTGAACACCCGACCAGGCCGCCCCTGATGCTTCGCTGTCACCTGTACGGTGTTGCGGTGTGTTCGGCTTTCGTCTTGCCTGACTTTCTTCCCCTGTTCTGGGCTGATGACCACGCCGTCTTTGCTGATGCGGCCTAGCCTTGCCAAGCAGGTGAACCAACTGCGATATCGAAGATGGTCTGCCGATCTTTTGCCCGGCAACTCCGAACAACGGAGCCTCACCACACTTCTTTTGTGTCCGCTTTCCGTTGTTCCGTCCGTGCCGATCCCCAACGATCGGCTCTCTTGCTGGACCGGACCCCACCAAATATTGCTTTTTTGTGTCCTCCATGGGCGCGTTGGCAATCCTGTCGCATACACGACTGTGTCGCCTCACCGCCATAGGATAATATGCTCCATGACAGGCTGATGGGCGTGAGTCGGCAATGCGTGATGATTGTCGATGAGGCGTCCTGCAGGTGAAGATGCAGCAAATGCCGTTGATAGCTTTTGCAGATATATCCGAGTGCTTTGCATGATGTTGGCAGGCGTCTTGAAGAGTTTCCGCGTGTCGACTGTTCAGCTCTCAGTAGTCAAGTTCCGCCTTGGGCCATTTGACGGTATCTTTGTCTTTGTCCTTCTTCATCTTTCCGCGAAACGGTTTTTGGTCACCCTGAAACCATGGTTAGTCCCTGCCGACATTGCGAAAAGAGTTGCATTCCGGCTTACCTCTGCTTTGCGCTTCTTGCCGTGCGATGGCTCAGGCGCTCTCTTCGTATAGACTGGTGTGCTTTCGCGTGCTTGTGTCGCTTCCGAATGACAGCTAAAGTGATATGCTCGATTGCCGACCAACGTAGTATCCAGCCACACCCATTCTTGAGCAGTCTCAAGCCACTTGTTCTCAAATTTCTCTTGGCAGATGGGACATTTGCTATTGATCCCGCTGGATGCATCTGGCACAGGAATATATCGAGGCTTGGCCTCCTTCTTCCCTCGGCCAGGACTAGACGAAGACTTGTCCGCAGCCGCAACGTGGTCGACATCAATGGCCTCTCGGGACTTGACCCAGTCCTGTATGATGTTAGGCTATTCCAAAGGTTTATAAGGGGCTGATGGTGACTCACATTGTTATCGACATACCAGCTTCGGTGCTGGCCTCTTTTCTCTGCTTCTGCGAGTCGTTGGTGTGCCTTGAAGTGCCAATCCATATGCGCCATCTTCTTCTTCCTGCCCTCATCATCCGTCTTGAAACGTCTACCACATTGGGTGCATTGAGGACCCAACTGCTCAAAGAGAGACGGGATTAAGTGAGGTTGGAATCTGGAAAGGATTAGCATTCGTGCTTCCGGTAAGATTCCGAGATAAACTGACTGTTGTTTCAAAGCCGCCGCATCAAGCTGGTTGCCGCTCATACCCCCAAGCGGAGGAATTGGCGGCAGTTGGCCGGAAGCCAGCAAGCTTGCAATGTTAGGGGGCAAGAATCCGGGAGGCATCATAGGCATCCCTGGAGGGGGCACTGGTGCTGGGGCTGCTGGCGTCGGTGTTGCGCTTGGAGCTGCTCCCCGAAGGATTCCGGCTTGCCGTAAGCCGGCCAGCAACGCCATAGGATCTGTTGCCGGCGGCGCACTGGGCTGTCTTTGCGGCTCGGCCCTCTGTGGGGGAGGAGACCGGATCGTCATGCTGGCATGAGGAGGGGGCGGCGGCGTTGAAAGCTGTGGCGTGGCAGACTGCCGTGACAACAGAGCAGCAAGAGCTCCTTGGCCCAAGAGGGCATCAAGCGTCACTCCAGCTTGCTGCGGAGGCAGGCCAGATGGTACTACAGGCGCCGCAGGTGGCGGCGGTGGATGATGAGGGACAGTTGTAGCAGTAGGGGTTGAGCTCTGGGCCGAGAACGGCCTCACTTTTACGGCAAGATCGGCTACTTGATTCTTAATGAGGACCAACTGGTCCTGGGGCAAGTTCTGATGTTGAAGCAAGCTCTGCACATCCAACAACGCCTTGAGTCTTTGTTGAATACTATGATCATGGGGGTTCTGTGCAAACTCCAACTTCGACGCATCGATCAACTTCTGGATATCTTGACCCAGAGAGTCTTTGTTTATCCCAGCAGCCTGAGGTCCTGAGAGTCCGGCTCCGTATGGCACCTGCGGAGGGGGTTGGTAGGGACCAGGAGCTGCCGAAGGTTGAGCACTGTATGATGGCGGAGGAGGCTGTAAGGTCTGTCAGTGTGTGATATCAAGTGCTAAATGGTAGAATGGACGTACTGCATAAGGAGCCATCTGCGGATGGTGTGGAAGCGGCGCACTCGGAGGTCGGTTGCCATTCGCTTGTGGCATGGGTGGAGGTTGACCGTATGGCATCGGCTGGTTCGAGCCAGGTCGCATACCCGGCGGTGTTGGTGTATCGCGATACGGCGTAGCAGCAGGTCGGCCGCGACCTGCTGGTCGTCCTTGCTGAGCCTGAAGCGCGGATGTGCGAGCCTTGATGAGGGCGCTCTCAATAGGTGCCGTTACTTCTGACGCAAAGACTGGACGCTTGTCCAGAGATCCAGGAACAGGCTCCTTCCAGGTGCGGAGCATTTCATCCATCTTGCGGCGAACCTGGCCATCAACAGCCGCGTATGCTTCCATAAACGTCTGGTATAGCTTTGCTCCGAAAAATAATGTGTACGGAGTGCCGACATTCTTGACAATCGAATCGAGGACGTAGAGGGCTGGGAGCTTCTTGTGCGCTGGCGCCTGTCAAACATGTCAGCATGGATCGTTACTTTGGGGAAAGGGAGCTTCGTGACTTCCCAAGCTGCGCTTGAGAAGGACTTGGCAGACAACGCGGGCCGTTGCCGGAAAGCTGATGGATAGAGCCTACCTTCAAGATATGGTCCTGCAAGACTTCAGAGATGACTTGGGCATGCTCGGTCTGCTCTCTTGCAATCATCGTCAGATTGCTAATTTCGAATCGCACATTGGTAGTCAAGTCTTCAAGAGCTTGACGATAGTCCTCAGCGACTTCTGTGGCGGATGACTCGTACGACATGATTGTGGTTATTCCTGGGTAGCGATATCCTTGATGATGAATGTTTGTCTGTCAAGAGCACGCGATGGCGAGCGAGATCTGCAGGAAAGTGAGAACGCAATGGCAGCGGGGAAGATTCAGATCGACCTCGAAGTCAAGCGCCTTCACCCTATGCAATGGAAAACACAATAAACCACCCTTATTATGGAGGAGCACCAGTCTGCAGCTTGGAAGGAGAGACGACGCAGGTAACCTAAAGTGGAAGGGGCCGGTTTGCAGATTCCAATTCTCGCGTCCAGACCCTCTTTCTGCTCAAGTCCTCCCACCAAAAGCCAACCAAATCCAAGCAGAGAGCAAGGACACCGTCACAACATTATCCAGTTGATGGTTTTCGCGTCCGCTTGAAGAATGCGATGGGACCTTCGTAGATATTGACGGTCGCCAAACGTACGGAGAACGTCGCGAGAATGGCGAGGACAAAGAGCAAAATGGGAGTGGAAGTGGCAGTTGGGTAGTCACGATTTGGTCGCAGCGAGACGAGTCAATGAAAAGAAAAGCCTTGACCGATTTCAGGTCAAGTCGAATCAGATCCTTGCCGGGGGCGATGTCGGTCGCGAGTTGTCGTTGTGTTTGATGGAAGAATGCTCAACCTGCAGCAAGTCTGGCGGAAAGGAATTTGACGTCGGGTCGTGAGGCTAATGGAGGTAGGTAGGAAGTGACAGTGAAAGGCAATAACGGACCCACTTGAGCTCACGTGCCTTGGGCTACCAAGCAGGGAAATCATAGGAACCTGGAAGGTGCGAGTCGCACAGGTTCGCTGACCTCATCCAGTGTTTTCCTTATCTTATCTCATCTCGGCTCACCCATCACTCCTAGCTCTCAGTACCTAGGTACCACAAGGTAGGTAAGAAAGGCAAGGCAAGGTATCTTATGTCGTTGTGTAGATTCTTTCTATCGACCTGGAAGACGTGAATCGCCTACCATAACAACATCGCCTAATTGTCAAGAATTGGAAAAAGAAATGAGATACGAAGATAGAATGATCTCGGTATATCGACGAAGTCCTGTACAGTTACCTATTTTCTCTACACAAGTATGGGGTATCTACTCTGGACACTTGCTATTAAGATACAAACACGCAACTCGGGGGAAATAGTGCCTCTTAAGTTAATCAACCGACGAGTCTGCCTGAGCCTAATATCACAGCATAGGATGTTCAGTGAATGAACGCCTCCAAGATTCCATTGATACTTCTCTTCACACACCGGGAGCCCTGCCCGAAATGTGCAGTAACCCTTGCGGTCGAACTAGAAGCAAGAAACTTGAGATATAGACTTGGTAGCCAGAAGGGCAGGAGATGTGAAGTGGGCTCTTCTTTTACAAGTCGGCAACTCGCAAAGGATTTCGGTACAGGGCTTCTCCTCAATTAGGCTGATAATCAAGGCAAACTTCGTCCTTCACTGGGTTAGACCCTAGAGCAAAATAGGCAAAGTCAAGCATGAAGACTCTGGCGCAAGAATAATGAAGTACTGGATGAAGAGCGAACACTGTCAGCACTTCCGATTTCTATTCACGAAGCAGATACCCTGGGAATTGATATTTGACGCCAGCACTGCCACGGTGATGTGGCCGTGGCCACATCGTACAAGACTGGCGGCTGGAGG